CCAGGGTGCCAGGCTGGGAAGGGGGATGGAGGTGGTCCACAATGGAAGCAGAGCAAAGGGCCCGAAGGAGAGAGGCTGAGAGCAGCCTTCCCTCAACATTCTGCTGCAGTTCTGTGCAGCCCCATGGCAGGACAATGAATGGCCCCAATGACGTGTCAGACCTAATCCCCCAAACCTCCAGCTATGTGACACCCCATGATAATAAGGACCTTGTGGGCTAAGGATCTAGAGACAAGGAGGGGCTCCTGAGCTAGCCAGCAAGGATTCTTACATGGGGGAGAGAATCAAAAGAGATGTAATGATAGAAGCAGAGAGAGACAGAGGGTTTAAGATATTACATAGGGGCCCAAAGCAGCAGCCTAGTGGCTCAAGTCCTCACCTTGCACACACCAGGATCCCATATGCATGCAGGTTTGTATCCTGGTGGCTCCACTTCCCATCCAGCTCCCTACGTGTGGTCTGGAAAGTTAGTTGGGGATGGCCTGAAGCCTTGGGACTCCGCACCCATGCGGAAGACCTGGAAGAAACTCCTGGCTTCAGATCAACTCAGCTCCAGCCATTGTGGCCACGTGAAAAATGAACCAGTGGACAGAGGATCTTTATCTCTTCTTTCTATATACCTGTCTTCCCAATAAAAATAAATAAATCTAAAAGAAAAAAAAAGATGCTACTCGGGCCCGGTGCGATGACGCAGTGGTCAAGGTCCTCTCCTTGCACGCCCGGGATCCCATATGGGCGCCGGTTCTAATCCCGGCAGCCCTGCTTCCCATCCAGCTCCCTGCCTGTGGCCTGGGAAAGCAGTGGAGGACGGCTCAGAGCTTTGGGACCCTGCACTCCTGTGGGAGACCCAGAAGAGGCTCCTGGATCCTGGCTTTGGATTGGCATAGCATCAGCCCGTTGCGCTCACTTGGGGAGTGAATCATCGGACGGAAGATCTTCCTCTCTGTCTCTCATCCTCTCTGTAGATCTGACTTTCCAATAAATAAATAAATCTTAAAAAAAGAAAAAAAAAGATGCTACTCTGGAGCTGGTGCTGTGACAGAGGGTAAAGCTACTGCCTGTGACACCAGTATCCCATAGGACCACCATGTCGGGTCCCCGAAGTGCCGCAGTTACCAGGTGATGAGAGAAGAGAGATGGGCGCCTGGGGACAGAGGGAAGCCAGGACACGTCACTGGAGCCCAGCAAGCTTTGTGCCCATTCTGTTGTCCCTGAAATGTCTCAGAATAGAAGACATCAAGGAGCAAAGCAAGGCTTTCTCTGTAACTCAGGCCTGTGCAGGAATCAGCGCTGACATGGCCCAGTGTGCAGTGTGCATCTGCAGAGGACACCAGTCTGCCCACACACACACCCAAGCTGTCTGTGGCCTTGCCTTCAATGCCTTCCCCTCCACCGAGAACCGAGGGCCCTGGGAGATGACCTTGGATACTGGGAGGCAGTCATCGGGGAGGTCAGCCTATAGCTTGCAGGGAGTGGCTGCCCGGGCAACGTGACACTTGCAATTGGGACAGAGGGTGGACGGGCTCGCCACATTGCAGGAGGCAGAGGAGCAGGACTCTGCGAGCCTCGCCAAGTGCGGCTTTGGAGGCTGTGCTGGAAGGCGGGGTCTTGGAGAACTCTGGGGTACATAGGGATGAGAACTGAGTGGTGGCATGAGAAGCCGTTCGTGAGGCCCAAGGCCCTGGGGAGGTGGACGGGCCTGGAGCTGCCTGGGGAGTTCATTAGCAGAGAATAAACACTGCCAGTTGGGTATGCACACATGTTACACTGTAGGAACTTGACCTACCTGATCAGGGCATCGGCTGCCCTGGTCTATGTGGGCTGGTATCCCCGTGTCTGCTGCTGCCGCCTGGGATCCTCAGGGTGGAACGGTAGGAAGAAAAAGTGGACAAAAGGCAGGGGCTCTGGAACAATCTGGCAACTGAGGCAGAGCTACTGGAAGCTCTGCTCTTTCCCAACCTTCCCTCGCCCCTGTAGTGTACCCCATCCGTACACCTCCCATATACCGGACACAAGAAAAGCTGGACGCCCCTGGTTGTGCCTGGCCCAGGAGAGAAGCAAGCTGGCCCTGCCCTCAAGCTCCCAAGTTCGCACGCCTAAAGCAGTGCGACTGCCTCTCCACTCCCACCTCCCAAGCCTTGCACACAAACATCTCCCTGTGCCTGTGCTGACATGGAGGGCGATTCTAGAAAAATGTAGACTCAGCTTGGCAAGATGGCAGTGATGCCAATCCAGCACAGGGTGCGGTGTGCAGGGACATGTGCAGGCAGTGGCATAACTTCATCGCCTGTGGGGACAGCACCGGGAGAAGCAGTGGTGGCGTTATTATGTCACCCTTGCATACGCCCTTCCGAGCCTGGCAAGGGGAGCCCCTCGAAACCGTTAGCATGAGCAAAATGAGTCAGGAGGCTCTGCTGGTAGAAAGGTAACGAGTTAGTAGAAAGAGACAGAACAGATGCAAATTTAAAAAAAAAAAGAAGAAGAAGATGTATCTATTTTTATTGGAAAGGCAGATAAGCAGATCTCCAAGGAGAAGGAGGGACAGAGAGAAAGATCTTCCATCAATTGGTTCACTCCCCAAATGGCCACAATGGCCAGAGCTGACCCAATCTGAAGCCAGGAGCCAGGAGCTTCTTTCAGGTCTCCCACGTGGGTGCAGAGTCCAAAGCATCTGAGTCATTCCCCACTCCTTTTCCTAAGCACATTAACAGGGGGCCAGATGGGAAGTGGAGCAGCCAGGACTCCAACTGACATCCATATGGGACTCTGTCCCACAGACAGCAGCTTTGACCTGCTACACCACAGCACCAGTCCCCGTCTTCTCCACTACTGATAATTAGAAGTTTGTTTTCCCATCACAATGACATGAGGCATATATGCGCATATGTTATAAAATGACACACATCAACTGTACACAACATATTCACACTGGGGAACTTCAAAAATGTCATGGACAACTAAATGAAAAGATGTTTACTACAAAAAAGATTCTGAAAACCCACATATACAAGGGTTGCTCATGCGGCTCACGCATTTGGATATTATCAATAATCTACACTTGGCGGACGGTGCTGTGGCGTATCCAGTAAAGCCCCCACCTGTGACACCGGCACCGCATATGGGCATGGGTTTGTATCCCGGCTGCTCCGCTTCCCATCCAGCTCCCTGGTGGTGGCCTGAGAAAGCAGTGGAGGACAGCCCAAAACCTTGAGCCCCTACATCTGAGTGGGAGACCCAGATGAAGCTTCTGGCTCCTGGCTTTAGCCTGGCCCAAGCCCTGGCTGCTGTTGCCATTTGGGGAGTGAATCAGCAAGTGGAAGATCTCCTTCCCTCTTCCTTTCTCCTATAGTTCTACCTTTCTGTCAAATAAATAAATCTTTACACAAAGAACCGCAGGAAAAGGGTGTTGCTGCAAGACTGTCAGCGCAAAGAGCTGGCAGTCACCACCATTTGTTCAAGGCCTCCCCCTCAGAGATTGTACAAACGGGGCGGTGGATTAAACACTGCGGGTCTTGGTGGTCTTGGAAGACGTCGTGCTCGTGAAGGCCTCCGAGGTTTCAGCTTTCAGGGTCTCCCCAGCAGATCTGTCTCCAGACAGGAGAAGCTGTGGGTGGGGGCCCACTCTGGAGGTTACATGGGAATCAGATCAGAGCAATGGCTGTCAGGGGCCTGAGAAATCCGGCTTCCTGGACTGTCTGAGCCAGACAGCATCAGCTGCAGGGCATCCGGTTTCGCCATCTGGAGTCAAGTGCGAAGGAGCCCAGCCTTCTTCTCTCCGGAGCGGATAGTTCAAAGACATCCACGGAGAGCGAGAGCTTGGAGCGGGCAATTAAGACACCAGCCTGTGATGCAGTGGAGCGCCCGGGCGGTACACACGGGCTGCCCCTCCTGACCCCAGCCTCCTGTCCATGCAGACCCTGGGGAGAGCAGTTGGGGGAAGTTCCTGCCATCCCCACGGGAGACCAGGATGGGGGTGCAGCTCCCCCTACCTCCAGCCTCTCAGCCCCGCCCCCGGGCCTCGGGGAGCCAGAAGTAGCAGGTGGGGTATGCTGTCTTTATCTGCCTCTCAAATTAAAAGAACTTGAGGAAAAAAACTATCTAAACAAAACAAATTTAAAAAATGGTGCCAGCTATAATAATCCCACAATCTGCTTCATATCCATCCTTTGGTAGATTTTCTTAGTCATTTTCATTGCATCATCGTTGCAACTTTTACCGGCTCTCACTTCACACAAATACACCTCTTATGCCTTAAAAATACTCAAAGTATAATCCAAACTTCTGCTAGCTGTTTCATCACGCCGGTTCCCCTCCTCTCCCTCCCCCCAGTGGTGGCCAATTTCAAGTTTGACTCAGAAAAAAAGGAAATAAAATGCAGAAGTCTGCAAGGCTTTGCGCTGCCACACGCGGGCCCTCCCTCGCGGGCGCCTTCGCCCCTTGCCCCTGGTCGGGCGCCGGTGCCCCTCCCACGCAGGCCGGCCCTGCCCAGGCTGCTGAAGCCACTTCCTCGTGCGCCGCACAGCCCGCGCCGGGGCCAAACCACGAGTGTTAGGAAATGCGGCGAGTTTCTCCCCCGCATGGCTCTGCGCCCGTCACGCCCACACCCCAACCCTCCCTAATTCCTACACCGGTATAACCCTCCCGCCAACATAGTAGGGTTAAAAGCTCAGTATATCATTTCTAGACTGTTTAAGAGCGCAAACGTTTACAGAGAACATTCCTCCCATCTGGCCTTGCAGGCATCAGGAGCCGCGCCAAGGGGTCGCGGGGTCTTTTTCCCAGAATCGCGAGTCCCCGGCAGGTGGGACTTCTGCCTGCAGGGTTGGGGGTTCGTGGGGGTTTCCGACTCTGCTTCTGCTTGGCTGCAGGGTCCCGGGGCCCCTCCGGCAGCAGTCTACCCCCACCCCCACCCGCAGTGTCCGGAAAGTCCCCGCGGGGGGCGGGGGGCGCTGGGCAGGGCCGGGGCGGGCAGGGGCGGGCAGGGGCGGGGCGCGCCGGGCTCTCCGGCCGGGACGCACGCAGCCGCCGCCCGCGCTCGGCGAAGAGGCGGACCCCGCAAGGCCTGCGCTCGCCATGGCGGCCGACGCGGCGCCGTGAAACCACTCGGCGGATCCGGAGCAGGGAGCCGAGCCGAGCGCGCCGGGCCATGCGGCCGCCGCTCCGGCCTTGGCTGCTGCTGCTCCTGCTGCTCCTGCTGGGCGGCTACCAAGGCGTGGTGCCCGGGCCAGGTAAGCGGAGCCCGGGGACCCCCGAGGCCGGACGCCGCCGGGCCAGGGTGGGCGCGCGGGGAGCCTGCAGTGGAGTGAGGGGGCTCGCGGGGTGTTCCGATCGGATAGGGGATTCACAGGGTGACTGCAGTGACTAAGGGCAGCGGGAGTGCCCTAATCGGGCATGGGTCTAGAAGGTGCCCGGGTGGAACAGGGGCTCCTCGGAGTGCCTTCAAAGGGTGGGGGATCCCCGATCGGATTAAGAGTCCTCAGGGTGCCCTGAGCGGGTGGGGAATCTTCGGGGGTGCACTAATAGGGTAGGGGGTTTGCAAGGTGCCCCAGCCAGGTGAGGACACCCGGCAGGGTAGGGGGTGCGTGGGATGTGCCTCGAATGTGGATGGAGGGCGGGGAACTCCAGGCACTGTCCGCGCTCCGCTGCGCTTCCCTCTGCACCCTGGGACTTGTCAAACCAACGGCCCGGCCCACGGGAAAGCCAAGCAATCCCGGGGCTCTGGAAAAGGCCTCCGGTGCCGGCCGCACGGAATTCGGCTCCCGCAAGGAATGTCCCGCCCTGCAGCTGCAGCAGAGACAAGCTCGGTCCTTCTGCCGGCTGGGTGCGGTGGAGGCCAGCAGGACGCCAGGGCCCCCTGTGTAGGACGCGTGAGCGGGACTCAGTTCTAACTATGGCGAGGGGCGCGTATGATCAGGGGTGTGGCATCCACATCAACGGGAAGCAGAAAGTCCCCCACCCGCAACCATGTGGGAAGAGAGCTGTCAGCTGACCCAATCCCAGCTATGTCCCTTAACCCCCGCCGCTCACTGGGCAGACTCAGGAGCTACACGAAAAGGAAGACCACCTCTACGACAAAGGTGGGGGCAGAAGGAATGGGGTGTGTGTATTTACTGGCTTCTTTCCAACGGAAACATGGATAGTACAGGGGGGAGAGGCACTTGAGTAGTCTCACCAATTCTGAAGTTTACTACTGTTTGAGAACGTTTACCAGTTGGTCCTTCTCCCAGCATCCCGTGCAAAGACTGAAGTTCTGGGGCACTTTGCCCCATAGGATGTGTCTTGGGTTCCATGAATGTGTCAAACGCCTAGGCTGGAATCCTGACCTGCCTCAGATCTTGGTTGCCCTGTCCTGTGTGTATCTCCTCCCGGCTCTGGGGCTCCTTGAGTCTTGGGGTGGGCAGCGGGTTGAGGGTTGGTAGCAGGGTGGGTGCTGGCAGTGGGCTCAGTTAGCCACCGCCGTAGGTTGTTTACACCTGCCTCCCACAGGAGTAGACAGGTGTTCAGAAAGGACCTTGTGATGTTGCCGCGCTGTCCAGCTGCCTGCCGGTCCTTCTGATGACTAACTTTTATTGTGGTTCACAAAATGACTTTTCTGTAACTCATTGAAACAAGCTGGTTCCATAGATGTTTTGAAGAGTGCCCGTCTCCGGTTTTGGAACTATTTGGAATTGTTCATACCAGGCAATTTTTACAACAACTGGAATTATTTATTTATTTGAAAGAGTTATAGAGAAAAAAGGAGACACTGAGAGAGACAGATCTTCCATCCACTGGTTCACTCCCCAAATGGCCACAGTAGACTGGCCCCAGCTGAAGTAAGCAGCTTGGAACTCCTGTCTTCCACGAGTGGCTCGGACCATCTCCTGCTGCCTTCCCAGGTACCTTAGTAGGATCAAAAGTAGAGTAGACACGTCTGGAACCTGTGCTCTTATGGCATGGTAGTGGCTTAACATACCAGCCCCAAACTGGGAAACCCCTTTTAACAGTAATTACCTAATAAGGGAGTAGTGGAAAAGCTTCCACACTTCTCCATAATTTATAGGTGTCCTTTGCAGTCATAAATTTGCTTTTACAGTAACAGAATAACAAAGAGTATTGGGGTCGGTTTTAGAAAGGGACACTTAAAGTATCCGCCCCATTGCTGTAAGTGTAACAGGGTAAGATATCAGACCTGGGCCTGGCACAATAGCTCGACAGCTAGAGTCCTTGCCTTGAATGTGCCTGTTCTAATACCGGTGGCCCTGCTTCCCATCCCGCTTCCTGCTAGTGGCCTGGGAAAGCAGTCGAGGACGGCCCAAAGCCTTGGGACCCTGCACCTGCATGGGAGACCCGGAAGAATCTCCAGGTTCCTGGCTTTGGGTTCAGTTCAGATCCAGCTATTGCGACCACTTGGGGAGTGAATCATCGGACAGAAGATCTTCCGCTTGGTCTCTCCTTCTCCCTGTATATCTGATTTTACAATAAAAAGAAATAAATCTTTAAAAAAAAATTCAGACCTGATGCACCGTGTAGCCATGCTTTGTTAAGGGATGGCTCTTGTCCTGTACAGAATATGTAATCAACAGCAGGAGGGAGGAAGTTAATGCATTTTTGAGTTATGCAGTTACCTGAATGTTTTTGGAAAGATTTATCTGACAGAGTGAAAGAGAGCTTCCTTCTGTTGGTTCAGTCTTCAGATGCCCACAACACCCAGGGCTGGGCCAGGCCACAGCCAGGAGCCAGGAGCTCCATCTGGGTCTCCCACACAGGTGGCAGGGACCCAGGCACTTGGGCCATCTGCTGCTGCTGCCTTCCCAGGCACATAAGCAGGAAGCTGGATTGAAAGCAAAGCAGACAGGACTCCAACACAGGCCCCAAGGCTTCTATTTGCAATTGCAGTCGCTCTATCCTAATGCTGTAATGGATTCACTGTGTCTATGCACCATTGAATTGGATTATCTTAAAATGACTGAACATTCAAGGCCTCTGACTAAATCCCAGCAGCACACAGCCACTGTGAGCCATTGTGCATCAGGAAGGCTCCTCCTGGCCCGTCAGCTTGGCACCTGTAACTGTCACGCAGCTGGCACTGGTCTGGACTAGCTGGAGATGATTCATGGGGCCTCTCACTGTTATCAGACAAGTCCTGGACACATTTTCTCCAGTGTTTCTCTTCTGTTCTTTTAAAGTAGGTGGTGCTGCAGTTTTATTCCCAAGAAAGCCAAGTCATCATTATGGCAGGGATGGGAAACCTATTTTTTTTTTCTGCAAGAGACATTTAGGTATTTATAACATCATTTATAGGCCATGCAAAATATTCCAATTGAAACTTAACCTGTGGAGCACTGTGAGGCAGCCTAGCAGCAAAAGTCCTCACCTTGAACATGCCGGGACCCCATATGGGCTCTGGTTCTAATCCTAGCGGCCGCACTTCCCATCCAGCTCCCTGCCTGTGCCCTGGGAAAGCAGTCAGGGACGGCCCAAAGCCTTGGGACCCTGTACCCATGAAGGAGACCAGGAAGAGGCTCCATGCTATGGGCTCCTGGCTTCAGATCAGCTCAGCACTGGCTGTTGTGGTCACATGGGGAGTAAATCAATGGACAGAAGATCTTCCTCTCTGTCTCTCTTCCTCTCTGTATATCGGACTTTCTAATAAAAATAAATAAATCTTAAAAAAAAAAAAAAACTTAAGCTGTCGTGATGCTGTCTCACATTGGGGAATGACAAAAACAAAACAAAAAAAAACCCGTAAAGAATAAAACTTATTCTTTATGTTTTATTACCAGTGTGTAGCAAGGTAAACCTCTGCCTGAAATGCCTACATCCCATACGGGCACCAGTTCATGTCCCAACTGCTCCACTTCTAATCCAGCTCCCCAATAACGGCCTGGGGAAGCAACAAAAGATGCCCAAGTGTTTGGGTCTCTGCCACCCCTATGGGAGACGCAGATGAAGCTCCTGGCTCCTGGCTTCAGCCTGGCCCAGCCCTGGCCCTTGTAGCTAGCTAAGGAATAAAAGAACAGACGGAAGGTCTCTCTGTCTCTGCCCCATCTCTGTAACTCTGTCTTTCCAATAAATAAATGCAATTTTTAAAAGAAAGAAGAAGTTAGCCTGCTTTAGATTTATTGAAGTCAAGTCTTGTGTGTGGTTTTCTTGGCAGAGTCAGCCAGATGACTTCATGGGCCTCATATGGCCTGCGGGTTCGACGCTCCCCACCCCTGGTTTATAGGAAGAGATTGATGAGCTAGATTAAAAACAGAAGAAAGGAAAAAAAAAAAGATTTTGGAGTTTATTGAAGTATGGATTCTCGGTATGGCTGATCAATTGAGAACTTTCTTCAACTTCTTATCTTCAGTGCGTCAAAGCTGTGATCCTTGGTGTCCATCATGATTGCGTGTGGCTCAGGGCTGAGGATGTCACCGAGGGCACTCATTCTCGCCTGTCACGGTGCCCACGTTCAGCTCCTGGCTCTGCTTCTGACAGCAGCACTCAGCGAACGGGCACCCTGGCAAGCAGCAGGAGATGGCTAAAGTGCTTTGGCCCCTGGGAGACCTAGATGGAGTTGCTGGCTCCTGGTTTGGGTCTGATCCAGTCCTGGATGTTATGGGCATCTGGGGAGTCTGGCCCAGCCTGGCTGAAGGAGGGAGACATGTAGAGAGTCCATTAGCAGTTGGAAAACATGTATGAGCGTGCATAGGTGTGTGTATTTGCCTTTCAAATTCATGTTTCTTCATTTTTTATTTTTAAAGATGTATTTTGTATTTATTGGAAAGTCTGATAAACTGAGAGGAAGAGAGACAGAGACGAAGATCTTCCATCTACTGATTAACTCCCCAAGTGGTCACAACGGCCAGAGCTGAACTGATCCGAAACCAGAAGCCAAGAGCTTCTTCAGGGCCTCCTACATGGGTACGGGAGTCCAAACACCAGGCTGCTTTCCCAGGGCACAAGCAGGAAGCTGGATGGGAAGTGGAGCAGCCCTAGACCCAAGCCAGTACCCATAATGGAATGCTGGCGCCACAGGCGGTATCTTAGCCTACTATGCTTCTCTCAATGATTCTAGATCGCTCTGGAGGTCAGATGTCTGCTGTGGGTCTCCCAGGGTGAAAGTCCACACTCCTTTCTGGAGGCACCTGGTGGTGGAACTCACGTCCTTGCCCCCTCAAGCGTCAGTGTCCCCCATGGTTACACTGAGCTCACCCCAGTGTTCCAGAACCATCTGCCTGACTTATTAAGGGCACCGGGTTGGGAGCCCACATGTCCCCTTTAACCTTGACTCCCCTGGGCCTAACATAAGGTAGTCATGCTGAGATGCATGTAGGGACCACTGCTGCCTGTGCTGAGAACTGCTGCAAATCCTACTTGCTCCTTGAGGTATGTCAGCAGCCCTCAGCACATGGCAGGCCCTCAACCAGTCCTTAGCATGGGCAGGGACTATGATTGGTCCCTGTTCTGCAGATGAGACAACTGAGATACCCATTTCTTGCCCAGGGGCTGGTGTGGCATGGTGGGGTAAGCTGCCATCTCTAGCACTACCATCCTATATGGGCACTGGCTTAAGTCCTGGCTGCTCTACTTCCGACTCAGTTCTCTGCTGGTGTGCCTGGGAGGGTAACAGAGGACGGCTCAAGTTCTTGGGCCCCTGCACCCACATGGGAGACCTAGAAGAAGCTTCTGGCTCCTGGCTTGGGACTGGCCCAGTTACAGCTGCTGCAGCTCAGAAACCTGTAAGGAGACAATGGCAGAGCTTAACCCAGAGCCACAGTTTGTCATTCTGGAAGCCAGTGACTCACCCTGAGAGCCCAGGGGACGCAAGGGGTGAGCAGTGCCTGGGAGAAAGGTCACACAGGGGACAGGGAGGCCCTGAGTCAGGGGGTAGAGGGAACTGGTCATTCCCTCTGGGGCTCCCCACTTGCATTCTACACGGGAGGTGGCTCTGATCATGCTGGCATCTGGGCTGAGATCCCATGGCCTGGGACAGAGAGCAAGGCAGAGGAAGGGGAGAGAGGGGAGAAGGGACTGCCCAAGGCCGGGGACTGGCCAGGCCAGGAAGTCTACAGCATAAGATGTGCATGAATAACCCAGGGCAGGCCTCCCGAGGTAGGAACTGGACTATTCTTAGGAAGCTTGCCACTTCCCGTGGCGTCATTGACTTCAGTAAATGTGGCCCCACCAGGAGCATTGGAAAAGCAGGTGGAGGGCAAGGATGGGTGATGTATGTCCTCCGGACTTGGTGGAGAGCTGGTCTGGGGACTGTGGCCATGACAAAGCTGTATTCTCTCTCTCTTTCAGTCTCTCTCTCTGTCTGAATTCATTTATTTCTATCTAAAAGGCAGATTTATAGAAAGAAGAAGAGACAGAGAAAGATTTTCCATCCACTAGTTCCCCAAATGGCCACAATGGCCAGAGCTAAGCTGATCTGAAGCCTGAAGCCAGGAGCTTCTTCTGGGTCTCCCATACGATGCAGAGTCCCAAGGCTTTGGGGCCGTCCTCCACTGCTTTCCCAGGCCACAAGCAGGGAGCAGGATGGAAAGTGGAGCAGCTGGGACATAAACCGGTGCCCACATTGAGATATGGCTCTTGCAGTTGGAAGATTAACCTGTTGAGCTACTGCACTCACCCCAGGGTTGTCTTCTTGTTCTTCTACTTGGGGTATAGATGCCCTTCCATTCTCATCACCCCTAGATCCCTGGGGAAGGGTCTTCGAGGAGGGAGGGAAAGAGGAAGACAAACTTCTGCTGTTTCCTCCTCGACATGGAGGCTAGTGAAGGGACCAAGTGGCAGGCAGCATCATGGTCCCCAGACATGGCCACCTGGTAGGGCTGAGATTCTGTGAGTCTGTTTACCTATGGGACAAGAGGGGATTGGGGAAGTGCCAGGAAGATGGGCAGAGCAGCCAGGATTGTTGGGCCTGGTGAGTCTGGGGTCATTCATCATAAAGTGGATGAGGGAGGAAGGAGGGTCCCGCAGGGGTGGGGACAGCAACCCAGGACAGGACAAGGGCTGTCGTGTCTGCTGGGAGCCAGAGGGACCTGACCCCCACAGGAGGAAAAGGAAGATTCCAAGAGTCCCAGGGTTGTGGTGGGGTGGAGGTGTACCCCCAGCCATGCTCGAAGTCCCCACTGCACTTGGCAGTTCCTGGTGGGGGAATCTGCCCAGAACCTGGCCTGACATGCCACAGGGGCTGCCCTGTCCCCTCTGCCTCCAGCTCCTGGGTCTCTCGGCCCTTTGTGACCAGACCTACTGGTTAGCCAGTTGTAGAAAGATCCAGACGGAAGGTCAGCCAGAATGGAGTCCCTCAGAGCAGAGGAAGGAGGTGGAGGTAGGGAGGGAGCCAGGCCAGGCCTGGGCCACTGCTCTTCAAGGCTGGCTGTCTCGGGTGAAACATGCGGTTTTCGAGTTTCCTGCTCTGAATTCTACAACGGCATGTTTTTCTTCCCACTTCTGTTTCTCATTAATCTTGCAATCAGAGAAAGTGTTGTCAGTGCAGACTTCCTTTCTAGAGAAGAGAGACACCCTGTCCCCGAGGCTGCTGCCTCAGAACCTAGAGCTGGAACCCCAAACCCAGGAGGATCTGCCTGGGGTGGGGTGGGGTGGGGTGGGGTGGGGACTCAAGGTGGTCTCTTCCAGATCACCCTGAAGGAGGCACTTCCTGCACACCTGGGGAGTTGCTGTCCTCACTGTTCCTTGCCCCTCAAACATTTCTCACTCCTGGCCTGAGAATGAGCCAGAAACATGGGGGTGGTGCCCGAGAACCTGCCGTATACAGGGTCCTTGAAGGTCACACAGGGTCCACAAGGTCAAAAAGATAGTTCCCACCCTCCCATGAGCCTCAGACCTAACTTGGGGTGTTGGGGTACATTGCCTGGTGCAGGTGGCTTACTACACACTTCCGTGGTATTCAGTGTGGGATGAATGCACATCACATACTTAATCAATGTCAGCTTCACTACAACCCCCAGGCAGGGCAGGGCAGGGCAGTGGGGTGCTGTCACTCATCCCTCCTTCCGGAAGCAGACACTGAGGCTTCCATGGGTGATATAACCTACTCAAGTCGCATCAGAATTGGTCAAATCCTACCGGTTCTATTGGTAGATCTGGGATTCCAGAATGGCTAGGTCCTGCCTATCACAACAGGAAACCTGCACCAAGGAGGGAGACCCTGGGCCCTTCATTCCCCTCCGCCCCCAACCACTGACTATGTCAGGAGGACCATCTTGGTCATCCAAGGTCAGGGGGCCATTGCCGGCAATACTGTTCTGCACTTTGACCCGAAGGAAGTTGTGTACATATCTTTAATAATGAGCATTTAAGTATTGTTGGAATTTATCTCTTTCTCTTTTTCTCCCTCAAGACTCTGTTTACCAGCTGTCCGCTCCCCAGAACCCGAAGATCCATCTATACAACGCCGAGCAGGTTCTGAGTTGGGACCCAGCACCTCTAAGCAATGGCACAAGACCGGTGGTCTACCGGGTGCAGTACAAGTAGTAAGCTGGGTGTTGCTGGGGGAAGGGGGTTCTGTTTGGGGGTGTTACAGGCTCAGTGGAACCCAAGGGCCAGCTGCTAGTTACTGCCTCATAGCAGGGTTAGAATCCAGTTTGTGGAAACAGGCCTATCTCTGGGACTTTTTTTCCTGAGCTGTATTCATTTTTATTGGGAAGGCAAATTTGTAGAGAGAAGGAGAAACACGAGAGGAGGATCTCCCATCCATTGAATCAACCCCAAATGGCCATGATGGCTAGAACTGAGCCGATCTGAAGCCAGGAGCCAAGAGCTTCTTCCAGGTCTTCCGTGAGGGTTGCATGGTCCCAAGACTTGTCCCATCCTCCACTGCTTTCCTAGGCAGCTGGATGGAAAGTAGAATGGCCAGGACACAAACCTATGCTCTCGTGGGACACCAGTGCTTGCAGGTAGAGGATTAGCCAGTTGAGCCATTGTGCCAGTCCCTGCTTGCATTTTCAGGTATCTGCAGAGATCGATTCCATGAGCCCTCACTCCTCCGAGGGCTTGGATCCAATGGGTTCAAGGTCCCTACTGTGCAAGCGTGTAACTTCTCGAGTTGGTGACAGCCGAATCTGGCTGCTCTCAGACAGGCTGGGGAAGAAGAGAGGCAGGCGCTTCCAGCCTGCGGAGGTCATGAGGCTGCTTCTAGCCTCCACCTTCTTTCTCTTTAAAACTCTGATTTTATTGAAACATACAGGCCATCTTTGGCCTCTCAACTTATAATGAATTCTGTTTCTCTGTGGATTTTCGATTTTGAATCATGCGTAATTTCGGCCTCTTCATTTTATTTCTCACCCCCTCTGAGAGATTTAACATACTTTGTCATACTTTCACTTGGTGCCAAGCAAAGCCCAGACAGAAGGAACACAGGGAGAGCCCATCTGCTCAGTTCCTGTTTGTCTTGTTAAATCACTTAGTGAGGGGCTGGTGCCTCATGGTGGTAAGCATGTGGTGCCAGCATCCCATCTGGGCATCTGTTCGTGTCCCGGCTGCTCCACTTTCCATCCAGCTCCCTGCTTACGGCCTGGGAAAGTGGAGGATGGCTCAAATCCTTGGGCCACTGCACCTACGTGCAGCCGAAAGAAGCTGTTGCTCTGGGCTTCAGATCATCCCAGCTCTGGCCATTGTGGCCATTTGGGGACTGAACCATTGAATGGAAGATCTCTCTCTCTTCCTCTCTCTCTCTCTCTCTCTCTCTTTTTCTCACTCCTTGTCTCTGTAACTCAAATTTAAAAAAAAAAATCTTTAAAAACACTCGGTTACTTGAAGAGGCCAATAAACATTACTGGCCAAGTCATTTTGCATGACTAGCAAACAAGATGTGAAGGGGGTTAACCCTTTGTGCTGCGAGAGCACCCCCAAACAGTCCCTGGCAATGCATGTTGCGGGAAAACTGCATGCATGTCAGAGTGGTTTTTTTTTTTTTCTTCACTTTTTGACAAAAAATGAACATCTGAATTTTGTTTCCATGAGCTTTTAACATTCATATCAGCTGTCTGCAAAATTCACCAGCGTAGCCCTTTTGGAAAATAAGTCTATTATGTCCCTTCAGAGTAACAGAAATGTCTGTATTACTTTTGCCCTGAGTAGGTAATCCAGCCCCTCACTGCCCAAGGAAGAAGCCAAGTTATATTCATGAAGATATACATTGAAGTGTTTATTCATATGCATCAATGGGAAAATCGCCAGTGGTGGCATGTTTACTTATGATTGAGCTGCTGGCATTACTAAAACAGATGGCTAGTTGCAGGCCAGCTGGTAGAAGTGGCAGTGGCATAAAGTCTGGAATGCATTTGTAGCCAAGGGCGGGAAGGGAATGGTGGGAATTATTGGCAGTGGCTTCCCAGATGGCTTCTTTTTCATTTTTCAATATCTTCTGTAACAAACTTTCCCACCGATGCCAAGCTGGGTGTGTTTTCTACAACACACATTGAATCTTCTCATTGGTAACCATAAATGACATAAATGAAACAATCTGCTAGGCTGTTTGTGCACAATTTGTGGGGCCCAGTGCAAGATGAAACATGGGACCCCTTGTTGGAAAGTAGCAAGAATTTCAACTGCAGAGCATCAGACTGGGCACCGTCTAAGAGCAGAGCCTTGTGTAACTGGGCAGGTCATGTGAAGCTGGCTGTCCCCTTAGCATCCAGAAAACAGAGCAGCTGGGATGCTGGCACCACAGACCAGGGCTCTATCTGCTACCCCACAGCTCCAATCCCTTGCTATTCATGTAAATGCTGCAATCATTGCCTTATTTTTACCTTCTGCAAACAAATGGGGAAATGGCTCCCTTTCCACTTCCCCTTCGTGTGTCACCAGTCATTTAAATCTGGAGGCTTAGACCCTGAAGCCTTTTCCAGGAAGCAGTTCAGGCAAAGACACTTAACCTTGCAAATAAGATGCTTCTGTGGACACCCATATCCCGTATTTGAGTACCTGGATTAAAATCCTGGCTCCGTTCCCAATTCCCACTTCCCGCTAATACATGCCTCCTGGGAGCGGGGTGGTGGCAGCTCCAGAGTTTGAGTCCCTGGAATCCACATGGAAGATTTATATTAAGTTTCTGGCTCCTGGCACTGGCAAGGTGGCTTAGCAAGCTCATCCTATGTCTGAAGCACCAGCATCTCATATGGGCTTCGATTTGAGTCCCTGCTGCTCCACTTCCTATCTCACCCCCTGTTTGTGACCTGGGAAAGCAGCAGAGCATGGCTCAAGTGTTTGGGCCCCTGCACCCATGTGGGAAATGAAGAGGCTCCTGGCTTCAGATCAGCTCAGCTCTGGTCATTGAGGGCACTTGGGGAGTGGCCCAGCAACTGGAAACTCTGTGTCTCCTTCTGTCTCTGTAGGTCTGCTTCTCAAAAATTTTTTTTTTAAATCCTTATTAAAAAATTCTGGCTCCCAGGTTTACTGTGGCCCAGCCCTGGCTGTCATGAGCATTTGAAAAGTAAACCAACAGGCAGAAGTTGTGTGCCTGCCTCTCAAATAATCATCAAAAAAAAGCAGAGTTAGAGGAGTCGGGAGGAGACAGAACATGATCAGTGAGTCCCTGGGGAGCTAAGGAGTGCGGCTTTCAGACTGAAGGGCCTTTGGGTCCAAGTTCAACAGCCGAAACTGGCAGCACAGAGGTCACAGGTCCCTTTATACACTTTTAAAGAGGACTTTATACACTTTGGTTTTTGTTTTAGAAATTTATTTTATTTTTAATAATGCTAACAGTTGAGAAGGATGCATGCCCACATGGACCACTGATTGGGGTGGGAAGAGCTGAGGAATAGGGGAAGTGGATGAGACAAGTTTCCAATCTTTTTTTTTTTTTCTTCCTGTATCTTGGGGAAGAGGGAAGAGAAAGGAGAGGGTGGCTGCCAGCAGCCTAACCGCATCAGTACCCAGGGATGGGGGACAGCCACTTGATATTATCCCAGGGTCCTCAATGTGGAGTGTGTTCTAAGGATACTACTTAAATGGTTTTTTATTTATTTTTTTAGGAGATTTATTTATTTTTACTGGAAAGGGTGATTTACGGAGAGAAAGAAAGGCAAAGAGAAATTTTCCGTCTGCTGGTTCATTCCCCAAATACCTGCAAAGGCCAAAGCTGATCCAGTCTGAAGCCAGGAGCATCTTCCTGGTCTCCCACACAAGTGCAGGGTCCCAAGACTTTGCACCATCCTCTACTGCTTTCCCAGGCCATCAGCAGGGAGCTGGATGGGAAGGAAAGTAACCAGGACACGAACTGGAACCCATATGGGATGCCAGCACTGGGAGAATTTACCAGTCAAACCACCTTTCAGGCCCCAAGACTCTGTATACTTTGGAAAAACCATCAGTGACCCCCTCTTGGAGCATGTCCCTGAGGTTGGCCAGGGAGGAGTGCCTGTGGTTCGGGCCCTTCCCTCCATCCTGGCCTGGGATGCTGGGGCTCAGGGCAGGTGCACACAGTAGGCATCCTCCTCAAAGCCTGTCCCCGGAAGCGTGTCCCCAAGCAGGGTGTTAAGCATATTGCAGGTGCTGTTGTTTGCTAGATTTGTCTCTGGCACAGCTGATTCCTGCCTACAGGGTTCATTTGGGATGGGGTCCTGACCTTGCATTTGTGCTAAAAACCATTGAATCGTAATGGGTGAGCTCTATCAGAAAGCTTAAAAAAAAAAAAAAAAAAAAAAAAAAAACAGCCCTTGGGAAACTCCGACTGCAGGGACATTCTGCGAACTGAAATGCGTCTCTCCTTGCCAGCACCACTGGGAGGTGGAATGATGTGACTGGGAACCACGTGGAGGTGACTTGTACACAGATCACTGCAACTCAGTGTGACTTTACGGCTGCCGGCTCCGCCAAGGGCTTCCAGCGGCACTACAACGTCACCTTACGTCTCCGCGCCGAGCTAGGAGAGCTCCACTCGGCATGGGTGACCACGCCCTGGTTCCAACACTACCGCAACGGTAAGAGGACGGACTCAGGGCACAGAAACCTCTTCGCTCCATGGGCCTCAGCCAGCCTCTCTCTCCCAAAGCAGCCCGCAGCTGAGTGGGTGCGCCAACCCGGGAACACAGCCTGGAGGCAGACGCTTTCTCTTAGGAAATCCTCCACAGCTGCTCTCCTGCTGCCTCCGTAGGTCGCAGTGGTCCCACCCTCATTTCACCCCAGAAAGTGGGCAGACCCCGAAGGCAGACACCAAGCTGGCCTGTTGGCCCCCCTCAACCTGTTCTGACCCAAGTCCTTCCAAAATTGAGGACTTTAAACTCAACTCTGATGGGCGCCTGGCATACAGTAGGTGTTGAGTAAATAATTGCTGAGTGACTGACCGGTTACACCAGTGTGTTACCAGCGATGGCAAGGTGGGCATAATAAGCCTGGCATCCTGTGTCTACAGGTCACTTGGCCCAGTGGTGATTCCCTGGTCACTTGGCCAGCAGTGCCAATGTCGCATATGTCTCTCCACGCGCTGGCTTGTGCACACAGAGAGCATCGAACCTGTTCGGAGTGATGTGAAGACGGTGTAAGGCAGTTGAGGGGCTGCACATGCTGTCTGGAGACTTAGCAGATTGTGGGGTTCATGCTATTGGCTGGGATTTTTAAAGAAAAAGATGTGATCCTGGGTAAACATGGGAAATTCTATGGCATGTGTATTTTGCCCCAAGATTAAAGAGGGGGGGGATTTTCGCCATCTGAGAAATGGAAATGAACTCTTCAAGGGTTGTATTGTAGCCCAGGGTTGTGTGACCTCTGGGTGTCTCACCTGCTCTGCGAACCATTCCTCCCACAGTGTTTTGAGAGAAGGGAGATTGCTCCCTGCCTTGCTCCTACCCCTCTCACCCCAAAGATGGGTGTCAAGTTCAAGAGCAGAACTCTCTTTAGGATCATCTGTGCCTCCACCCCTGTTCTCACGTGGGAATGGATGTGTCTGAAGACCATGTCCCTTGCAGGTGCTTGCACATGGTCCCTGCACTTGACATGCTTCTCCACGCTCAGCCAGAGCCAGTGTATGCCAGGGTCGTGGACAGCAGCTTTACAAGAAAGAGTTATTTTTCACCAGCAGCCAGACCTTGAACATGACTCTGGCCGGTGGGCCTATATCTGCCCCAAGACATTATCTACACTCAGCCCCTCCACCACAAATGGTGTGGGATCTGAGGGCGCAGGAACAAACCTTAGAAAGAGACATGGCCTGGCCAGATGCCGACCTGCAGCTCCCAGGGGAGAGTAGGGAAGTGCCCAAGAAACGCAGCCCCAGGTGCCGCCTGCAGCAGTGGGACCGCCCCCTTGCGTGAGAGAGAAGGCTCCTAGAACCCGAACTTTGACCTCTCATTACCCAGCACCCATGCTCACTTGATACATGCCATCACCTTCCAGTTCTCATCATGAGTCAGTCCTGAGCCTTCTGTAAAAAGCCTTAATACATAGACCGCCCAGGGCAATGTCTCAGCTTTACATTCAGACAGCACTGCAAGGAACTAGCCAGAAAGGGCTGGCCCAGCCCTTGCCCTCCACGTGTACACTTGACCTTTGATCAGCTTTCCAATTCTGCCCCTCAGAAACTGATAAAGGCATCACGTAGCCATGTCCCCAAGGCAGACTTGGACTGACTCATGCTAAGAAGTACAAGGCTGTGGCATTAATGAAGTGAGCATGCGCATTAAGGGATAGCATGGGACATAGGATATACTCACACGTTCCCCAGCTTCGATGGGGAACCAGTGCCCTGTGGAGTGTCAGGGGTGCTGAGAGGGTGCTGCGGGTACTGTGTCCCTTCCGGCACCCTAAGACAGAATTAGAGCAGGTTCTCTTGTGGCCCAGGTGACAGATCAGCATCCGTAGCGCTGTCTGTAGCAGTGTCTGTGCTGCTCCCCAGCCTGAAGTTGGAGAGTGGTTGAGCTGAACCCTCACTGTCGGTCAGGGACCCTGCACATGCGCTACACTGTGTCTGCGTTAACATGGGCACTTTGGCTTTGTGATTCCACCTCAGTGACCGTCGGGCCCCCACGGGACGTGTGGGTGACCCCCGGGGAAGGCTCCCTGATCGTCATGTGTTCCCCGCCCTTCGACATCGACGGCTTCATGGTCACTTTTGACTACTACGTCCACTACTGGGAAAAAGCAGGCATCCAGCAGGTCAGAACAACTTTCTTCTTCATGTTGATTTTCTTTAGAGTTTCTTTAATATATATATATATATGTATATGGCAGCACCAGGCCATCCTCTACTCCTCTCTCAGGAACATTGTAGCAGGGAGTTGGAGCCAAAGCAGGGCAGTGCAAGTAGAGGCTTACCCCGCTGTGTAACAGAGCTAGCCCATGTCTTCCTGGAGTTTCTGACGTAGTAAAGGAAAGAAAAACCTCCCCTGGGCTAGGAGTGCAGGGGCCTCCCAGCTTCTCCTGGAAGTCCAAGTTAATCCTCTTTTGTAAGCACCGTTCCTGAGGCTGCCTCTGGGGAGATCCCCCCATTCCCACATTCCCACCCCGCCATGGTGCTCTGACGGCCCCCCTGTGATAACACAGCAGGCCCCACGTCCCGGGTGCACACTTGGCCAGTGCCTTCGGAAGTGAGGGGAGAAGGCCCACAGGTGCAGGAAGCCTTGGCTGGTGTCTGATAAAGAAGCAGCAGCTCAGAGGGGCTTGTTCAGCCCTGAGGGTGCCAGGCAATCCCTGCCCAGAAACCCCTGAGATTCCCCCGACTGAAAGCAGCAGAGCGAAGCAGTACATTTCAGTTCAGACCAGGAGCAGGTTGGGTTGATAAGGAATGTTCTTCTCTAGAACACTGTTTTGTCATTGACTAACTTAGAGGTGTTCAGATGAGGTTGACTGTGGGACCCAAAAGATGATTTGAAGGGAGAAAGTGTTAGTCTCAAATTAGGATCTGCTAAATTCCAGCTCTGGGCCCCAGTCCCCACCTACAACTCCCACAGTTGCTCCGCCTGCCTCCCCCTATCCCCCATTCCCACACTTCCCAGCCCTAAAGCCAGCAGTGCTGACTTTCCCTGCACGCAGGTACGAGGGTGGTGGATAAAGGGGGCTTGTGTGGTGTTCTCTTGCCAGGTGAGAGGCCCTTTCAAAAGCAGCCCCATCTTGCTGGCTGACTTGAAGCCCTTAAGAATGTACTGTTTACAAGTGGAGGCACGGCTGGTCTGGACTGCGCAGAACATCATCCGACCCGGCCATTTCAGCAACATATCCTGCTTCGAAACCACAGCAGATGGTAAAGCTGACCTCACCCGGGTCCTCTTTCGAATGCTGCTCACCAGAAATGCTTGGTACTGAGCAGGGTGGGAGAGGGCGACCCAGAAAGGGGTGGGAGAGGCGCCAGGATGAGCCCTGGCTAAGGGCTGGGTTCCTAGGGCTGCCACACAGCCAGCCAGCACCTGCTTGGGTGGGCGTGGCTGGGCATGCCTCATGTGCACTTTGAGGTCAGATACTTTCAGGTTGGTTTGGTCTGGTTCGGTTCTCTGATTTGGGGACACTTGCATATGTAGGAGAGAGCTCAGGGAGGGGACTTGGGTCTACATCAGTGGCTTCACGGTCCCTCTGTGCGTGGAGCCTGAAGGCCATTTGACACAACCTTCACACAGCAGCACGTGGGGTCAGGGGAGGACTTTCCAGTCGTGGTGTGAGATCAGCACACAAAAGCTTTCCAATTCCGGCTATGTAGATGAGGCTGCACAGCCTTCGTGGGCTGAGTCACACGCGGGGGTAGGTGAGGGAGTCTGCCCCGAACGCGCCTCCTGCTCATTCTCACATCATCTTTTTGTAGCCTCCACCAGGTATCAACAAATCCTGCTGATCTCCCTTGGGGTCTTTTCGTTCCTGTTGGTCCTGGCAGGAGCTTGCTACTTTCTGGTTCTGAAATACAGAGGCCATGCCAAATACTGGTTCCATTCTCCACCGAGCATCCCACAGCATATCGAAGAGGTAGGTGCCACACAAGGAATGGCTGTTTGGCCTGGTCATCCCTCGGGCCTCAGCCGTGAACAAAACTGTGTGGACACTGAAGCTTTTTTGTTTGTTTGTTGCTGTTGTTGATTCAAAGACTGATTTATGTATGTGCAAGACAGAGTTAGAGAGAAGGAGAGCCAGAATGAAAGATCTCCCACCCACTGGTCCCACCCACCCAAATGGCTGCAGTGGCCAAGGAACCTGGAACTCCATCTCCATAAGGGTGGCAGGGTCCCAAGCACGTGGGTCATCTTCCACTGCTTCCCTTGGTGCATTATCTGGGAGCTAGATCAGAAAGGGAGTGTCCCCAATTTGAAGAGGCATACATACAGAATGCTGGCATTGCAAGTGGCAGCTTAGTGCACTGAACCACAACATCAGAGCCCCTGATACTAGTTTCTGTTGGTACCGAGTTATTCATGCATGCATGCTCATAACTGCATTATTCTCAATAACTGGGTTTGGAAACAATCGTAGTGTCTGTTGAAAGCTGAGAAGAAAACAAGAAAACACAGAGCACACACAACAGAATAGTACGCAGCCTTAAAAAGGGAATTCCAACATATGCGCCAGTAAGGACGCGCCTTGAGGAGACTGTGAAGTAAGCAGACACAACAGGGCAAGTCCACGTGTGTGAGCATCCTCTCCAGACACAGGAGGGAAAGGAGAAGTTAGTGTTTAATGGGTGCCCAGGCTCAGCTTGTGAGATGAGAAGCATGCCGGCTGGTGGTGATAGTGGCAAAACTGAGGGTGGCTGATGCCACTGAACTTCAGGATGGTAAGCTAAGGGTAAGTGTTTGGGGACAGCAGGTTATGCCACCACTTAGGACACCTGTGTCCCATCTTGGAGTGCTTGGGGTCAGATCTTGCCTGCCCTGCTCATCCAGTGCCTTGCTCGTGTGATTGGGAGGCAGCAGAGCACGGTGCACGGGCTTGGGCCCCGCCACTCACAGGGGAGACCACGATGGAGGTCCTGACCCCTGGCCTCAGCCTGAGCCAGATGGTGGACATTTAGGGGGGTGAGCAGCAGGTGGAGGATCTGTCTGCTGCTCTCCCCCTCACTTTCAAATAAATTTAACATGGAAGGAAGGAAGGAAGGGAGGGAGGAAGGAAGGAAAAAAGAAAGAAAGAAAAGAAAAGAAGGAAGGAAAGAGAGAAAGCTAGCTAACTAGCTAGCTGGGGCTGGCACAGTGGCTTGCAAGCTAGACCTTCTGCAATGCTGGCATCCCTTTTGGATGCTGGTTTGAGTTCAGGATGCTCCACTTCTCATCTAGCTCCAGCTTATAATCTGACAAAGCAGTAGAGGAAGGCTCAGTTCGTTGGGCCCCTGCTCTCATATGGGAGACCTGGAAGAGGCTCCTGGCTCTGGATCAGCCCAGCCCTGGGGCCATTGCAGCCATATGAGGAGTGAACCAGCAGGTGGAGGATCTCTCTGTCTCACCCTCTCTCTCTCTGTCACTCTTTCAAGTTAATAGATATATATTTTTTTAAAAGAACCACAGTAATGTTTTTAAAAGATAAAGCTTCCATTTAAAAAAAAGAGAGAACGCCAGTGAGATGGTAAATCATAAGCTCTGTGTATTTCTCCCAAGTTAAATTTTTCTTTGGGGGAAAAAAAAAGGAATAGGGTTGACAAAGGTTCCAGGAAGAACTGTAATGATTTTCATGTGTCTCGAGGAGTGAACTAGCGACTAGAAGTGTGCTCTCTCTTACTCCTCTCTCTCTAAATGTCATTTTGCCTTTCAAATTAATCTTGGAAATCAGAAAGCCCCTATCCCAGGGCGGCACCAGCAGGTAGCCCCAGAGGCGCCTTGGATTTCTCACCAAGTAGAAACTAGGACAGGCAGGTGCTAGGCCTCAGGGGATCCCACAGCCTGACCCTGGAGGGGATCCCACAGCCTGACCCTGGAGGTTGAATCCAAAGCCGGGGGAGTGGAGGCCGAGTGCGGGGCTGCCTCCCGGCCCGCCCGGCCCGACAACGAGGAACCATGCGCTGCTCCTCTGCTGAGAAGTCCGGATTGTTTTGTTTTTGAATTTATTGATTTTTTTAGAGGTGTCTGAGGCTGTCTGAGTCATACCCACGAGGATGGCCGCAGGAGCCCCGTGCTTTCCCCTGTCTAACTTTCACACTCCATGTAAGCCAGGGAGGGTCGCAGGTGCAAGCAGTCATGTGGCACTCACCGCCACAAGGGGGTTCTCAAGCCATTTTCTCACTGTGCAGGCGTAGGTGTCATGGCCCACTGCACACCTCGGCCACACAGCCTGCCTGCCTGCTGCCACTCCCAGGCCGTATGAACACACAGTGTGAGACAAGAGGAACACAGGAGAAAATAGAGAGAAAGCGGCTACAGGGAAGTTTGTGTTTTGATCGAGCTTGGTAGGCACTGACAGAGCGAGGATGCTGCAGATGCGTGGCCAGGTTGCCTGGAGACCCCTAAACACTGCTTCGCAGAGGCATTTTGAAAAGAAAGTTCCAGAGAAACAAAAGCCGTTTGAGGGGCATAATGGAATTCCAGTGCATCTGAAGGATGGGCCTGGATAGAGCCAGCATGGTTCTTTCCGTTGGTGGAAAAGCATGTGCCAGGTACCAGCTGGCCATGACTTCATTCCCCATGAGGCAGGAGACTTGAGTCATCCCAGAAACCATTTGGTTCCTTTGCATTCAGCTCCCTGTGAACCAGTAATGTGATAAACAAATGAGCTCTTCTTTGGGGATCAATACTTACTGACCGGCACTAACTGCTACCAATAAAGCAGACTTTACCATAAAAAAAGAAGTTTGTTTTTTGTGGGTTCTTTTTGTTTGTTTGTTTTGCAGTGAGCAAAGCAAGATTGATTAAAGTCGAAGCCCTCCTGGTGGGGAGTGAGGGAGTTGCAGGAACAGAAGATGAAGGAAACTTTTTTTTTAAATAAGTTTCACTCTCCAGGTGGCCCCAGTAGTTGGGACTGGGCCAGGCTGAAGCCAGCAACACCATGCAGGTCTCCTGTGTGGGTGGTCGGGGACCAAGTCCTTGGATCATTGGCCACTGCCTTCCCCAGACGTGTTAGCAGGGGGCTGGCTCATAAGCCAACAGCTGGGATTCAGCCATCACAAGCAGTGGCTCAGCCCGCTGTGCCACGATGCTGGCCTCTCCATTAGAACTCCAGGAAGCCTCCACTTTCCTTGCAATCTTGTCATTGACCCACCTGTCACCATATACAGCCCATGTCTGTTGGAAGTTGCCGCATTGTTAATTAGAATCAAGTTGAACCAGAACAAAATACAACCAGGCCATTTCACATGAAAGCCAAACATCTGCTGCCTTGAACAGAGAAACTAATTATGATTTTGTCTTTCAAGTACTTAAAGGACCCGGCCCAGCCCATCTTGGAGGCCTTGGACAAGGAGGACAGCTCACCCCGAGACAACTGTGACACCTGGGACAACGTGTTAATCGTTGCACTTTCGGAAAAGGAGACCGAGCTCCTACCCACCCCTTGAACTCCAGCACTGGCCCTGCCTTGGGAAGAGGACTCGGCTCCAGGGAGCGGCCGCTGTTTCTGCCCGGACCCCGCAGAGACCCACACTCCACATTCCTACCTCAGAGAGGCCTGCCACTGCCCAGCCAGAGGCAGCGGGTCTAGTGGGAAAGCCAGACTGAACTTTTCATTAAGAATTTTCAAAATGTTGAAAGTTTCTAGGATGATTCTATGGCGATAACTCAGAAAAATTAAGACTTCTTTTAAACACTAAAAAGGATGTAATAATGAGCAAAATGCCGTGGCACACCTCTCTCTCTCTCTGTCTTTTTTTTTTTTTTTTTTTTTTTTTGCCTGTTGTGTCAGGTGGTCGAAAGACCAAGACCTCTCCATGACTGTTCTGGGGCCCCTGGGACAAATAAGTAACTTCTGTACCAGCTTGTCCCCAACCAAGGACACTGCACAGACCACTGTTGGCCAGTTTAAGGGCCTAAGATGTGATTTAGCCTGTAAATACTTTTCTTGTAATTTAAATGACTTTTTTTTTTTTAAGTCAAAAGTAAAAGACAAACTTTTTTAAAAGCCTGTGCGAAGTCTTTTCTCTCCATTTTGCCTTATGTTAGCCTGTTTTCTGTCCCAGTTTCAACCATTTAAAACAGTCACTTGTGTCTGGAGGTGGGCCTTTGGGCTAGTGCTTAACCTGTCAGTGAATAATCTTGCCCATATCAGAGAGCCTGGGTTGGAATCCTGGATCTGTTGTGGGCATGGGCATAGTCATTTCTGCCCCATGTTCTTGCCAGACAGCGAACTAGTAATTTTAAGCAGAGACTTAGTCATGTGCCTAAGTACGAACAGGATCGATTTGACGGTGAGGGACTAAACAAACGTGGCCACACCACACAGAGGAATCCCGAGCATGAGCAGGCCCTGGGCGTTGCCCGTGAACAAGAGAACCAGAGCGGCACCTCTTGGTGTGGTCCGTGGCAACAAAACCCTCTCCTGTTCCCAGCCTCCTGCAAGAGGCAAGGGGTACTACCTTAATCGGATTGATAGGATGAAATTATAACGTCTCCTGGTTCCAGATGAGACAGGTGCCTCCTGGGAAGGTAGATGTGTCAAGCCGACAGTTAAAGAGGTAGGGTTACATTATAGGGCTACAAGAATTCCAGTTCACCTAAACTTTCAACTACTTAGACCACATCAGATCCACTGCCAATCCACCTGCCTGCTAGAGCAGCTTGTGGGGGCAGCAGAGATGGCTCAAGTGGTTCTGTTTCTGCTACCCATGTGGGAGACGTTGATTAAGTTCTCTGCTTCTGGCTGTGACCTGGCCCAGCCCTGTCAGTTGCAGACATTTGGGGTGTAAACTAGCAGATAGAGCTCTCTCAGTGTCTTTTTTTTTAAGATTATTTTATTATTATTATTTTTTATTGGAAAGGCAGATATACAGAGAGGAGAGACAGAGAGGAAGATCTTCCGTCCGATGATTCACTCCCCAAGTGAGCGCAACGGCCCATGCTATGCTGATCCGAAGCCAGGAGCCTCTTCTGGGTCTCCCACGCGGGTGCAGGGTCCCAAAGCTTTGGGCCGTCCTCGACTGCTTTTCCGGGCCACAGGCAGGGAGCTGGATGGGAAGCGGGGCTGCTGGGATTAGAACCGGCGCCCATATGGGATCCCGGGCGTGCAAGGTGAGGACCTTAACCACTGCGCCACCGCGCCAGCCCCTCAGTGTCTTTTTTTAAAGGCTTATTTATTTGATACACAGAGTTATGGAGGGAGAGGAGAGACAGAAAAGTCTTCCACCCCCTCGTTCATACCAGGATGAAGACAGGAACCAGAAGCTTCTTCCAGATCTCCCACATAGGTCAGGGACCCAAGCACTTGGGACATGTGCTGCTGCTTTCCCGGGTGTATTGGCAGGGAGCTGGATTGGAAGTGGAACAGCCGGAACTGGAACCAGCTCCCACGTGGGATGCCAGCACTTCAGGCAATGGCTTCACCAACTACCACAGCACTGGCCCTGGTCTCTCTTTTAAATGAGTAACTTCATAGTTTAACATTATTCTTATCTAAACTTGCATACATTCTTGACACCTGATCAAACTGCTAAGACCTCGTGGGAACTCAGAATCTAACTTTCTACAGGTGCAACTCAGTTCCTGAAAAAGTCACAAAGGGGGTTTTTCAGAAGTGATACCAGCACTTCCTTTAGGCAGTGAGTCTCTGCACACACGAAGGCAGTGTGTTAGCCACTAGGCGGTAGGGATACCCACCAAGCACCCTTGTTGGTGCTGATGAAGGAGCCCTTGGGTCCAAAGGATATTTATAAAACCCATTTAGGAAACGGATGTGTGGTTGCTTCCCCCACTGCCACAGAAGGGACCTCGTGGCCGTGTGTCTGCCTTGGGGAGAAGCCATCTTGCACACCTTTGCTGGCAAGAGCAGAGGCCGTGCGGAGGTTTGTGAAGTTTGTGAAGCTTCCAGCATGAGTTGATGGCTCTCCCTCTGTTGGAGCCTGTCCTGATGTTAAGGAACTGGCCACCTTGCTAATCAGTTGTGTTCTCCGCTGGAGATACAAGGACAGCCCCGACCCCAGCCGCACAAGACCTCCGGCAAGGCACTGGCCGTTCAGCTTGCTGTGAAGCAATGCTCCTTGTCATTTGCAGGAAGAGTTGGTACAGAGAAAATGTGAAGGATCAGTGTGAGTCACTTAGGACATGTAAGATACAAGAGCTTCCCCTGGCAGGCTACTGGATGACACCTAGTGAAAGGGGGACCCCTCAGAATCCCCAGAGGATTGGTTCTAGCGCCCCTCAGATAGCAGAAAAGCTGCAATGCTTAACTCTTGTGAGAAATGGTATAGTTTTTGCGTGGAATCTGCATACCTCCTCCTGTACACTTTGCACTGTCCTGATCAGTTATACTACCTAACGCAACATCAACATTGCGTGGCTGGGCCGCCTTGTTTATACAGTAATCACAGGGAAGAAACATCTGTTCAAATTCTTTATTTGAGAGATGCACAGCTCTGATCTGCCGCTTCTCTCCAAATATATGCCAGGGCCGAAGGCAGAAACCCAGAACCTGACCCAGAGCCCCCAGGAGGGAAGCAGAAACCCAATGTCCCCAACCCTCCTGGTCGCCTCCCAGAGTCACCAATAAAACAAGAAGCTGAGGTTAGGGATGGAACTTGGCCCTCCAGCATGAGTGAGGAGGGGTCTGCTGAGAAGTGAGGTCCACTCAGCTGTCAGAGACCAGCAGGCTGACCTGAGGGGAAGGGGCACAGCACACTGGGTCCACTGTCCTGCGGAAGGAAGGGACTGCGGTCAGGCCAGAAAGGCCACCCCAAATGGTGGGAGGTCGTGGGTAAGTGTGGCAGGCTCAGTGCCCACTCGCAGCCTGATCCCCAAGTGCTTCTGGAGGGGCAGCCAGGGTCCCTAAGACCTGTGCCCCAGGGCAGAGATGTGCTAACATCAAGCCCACTTCCGGGGGCTAGCGTGGGGGAGCCACGCAGAATCATCTGTGCAGCCCACTCCCCACAATAAGCTAGTAAACACTCAAGCCAAATGGGGGCTAGCTGTTGTTTGGGGTGGATCGAACTAGAATTATTTCGACAGACATGATACTTGCTTTTTGATGGTATTTTTTATTGATTTATTTGAAAGAGTTCCAGAAACTCCATCCAGGTCTCCCCACTGGGTGGCAGGGCCTCGAGTCCCTAGGTCAGCTCTGCAGCCCTCCAAGCACATTAGCAGGAAGCTGCACTGGAAGCAGACTAGCTGGGACTCTAACTGGCATTCCACATGGGATTCCAGCACCACTGGAGGAAGCCTAACCCTTTGTGACACAACACAGACCCACTGGCATTTTTCTTTTCTTTTTTTTTTTTTTTTTGTTATTAACATTGTATTATGTGATACAGTTTTGTAAGCACTGGGGATTTCCCCCACCCCTCCCCCACCCCTCCTCCCATAGTGGATTGCTCCATCTTGCTGCATAACCGCGGTTCAAGTTCAGTTGAAATTCCTTCATTGCAAGCATATACCTAGCATAAGGTCCAGCGTCTTATTGTCCAGATAAGTTCAGTGGCCTCTTGGGGAGACCTTCTCTGGTCTGAAGGTAGAGCTAACAGAGTAAAGTTCTGGTCAGTTAAAATCCCCAACAAAACATCAGCGTCAATATACAACGTTATAGGATTAATTGACATAGTATTGAGTGAACAATATGTTAAAAAGAAAATACAAGTTCAATTCTTCAAAACATCTGGGTTGAGACAGTATCAGTGACAGGTACAAAAAGTAACAAACAACCAAGCATAAATTACAGATTAAATCAAGGCAAACGTGTGATATCTGACATAGTATTGAGTAGACAATATGTTAAAATTACATGTAAGTTCTTGACTACCTCCTGCAACTATTTCAATGACACCTCATCAGTTGAGGTGTGCAACAAGTTTGTGGGGTGTTGCAGAGAAATCTCTCATACCTTGCTGATGGGTACTTGTTCTTTGTGTTCCATCTGATAGTACATGTGTGAGTCCTTGATGACCTATCTTTATTGTTCTTTGGTTATCTCATCCTATTAGTGTGTGTATATGAGTGTGTGTGTGTATGTGTGTGTGTGTGTGTGTGTGTGTGTGTGTGTGTGTGTGTGAAGGGGGGCAGGGGGTTTAGGAGGAACCTTGTTAGTCATTAAAGAGGGTGGAGGCCCAGAGCTGGAACTAGGTAAGGACTGGAGAAGGTTCCTCTCCCATTGTCCCGCCGGAAGTTTATTGATCTTCTGGTTCTGATGACCGATCGTGGTTCCTGGCTGTTGTTCTGATGTCGTTAGTTCCTATGTGGAAGGACTCAGGCTTCTTCCATTTCGTGTAGTTTATCCAAAGAGGGGGGATGCCTGTCCTCTGGGCTCTTGGCATCCAGAGGCATTCCAGATCCCCGTGTTCTCTTTGGCAGTTGTGATGACGTTCTTGTGTCTGTTCTGATTCACCTTGGTGGGAGTCCAGGAGTCCTTGTGGGTGGGGGATAAGCCTCCTCCAGTCCCTCTGTTCCGCTCTGGGGTTCTCCCCTATTCTGTGCATATGACCACCTGTTAATAGACTGTTTGGGTCGTTCCTAATTCCCCCTGTGTGTCATTGTAGCTTTAGCTATTGTCTAATGCTGATCTGGATCTATCAACTTTAAGATACCTATCCAGTTCCTGTAGGTCACACTACGTGGATTCCTGGCTTTTTCAAGGGAGATGAGTTATTTCTCTGTGTTCCCACCCCCACTGGCATTTTTCAATAAGCAGAATCTGGTTCTGTGTTCTACAGCAAAAAGACTAATCCCTGGGATTAATGCCATGCGAACTTGGGATTTCAACTTCTAGTCATGCGAAGAACACAATCACAAAAAGTTTTCTAAAGATTTGTGTGCTTGAATTAGAGAGAGAGAAGAAAGATCTTCAGTCCACTAGTTCACTTCCCAAATGGCAGCAATAGCAGGGGCTAGAGGCCAGCCCGAAACCAGGAGCCAGGAGCTCTAACCAGGTCCCCTTTGTGGGTGGCGAGGGCCCAAACATCCATACTCTGCTCTCTTCCCAGT